TGCTCACCCATCGAAATAAAATTTATATTGCTCAATTTGGCAGCGAATTGCGTGGAAAAGTTGGAAATATTGCCACGTCTGACAAGCTCTTATGCTATCGCAAAACTTTGGACCACGTTAACAGATTTCCATAATAATAAAGTGGGACTTCAGAGGTGGTCCCATACAAATTTCTGTTATATCCGCTGATTGGTTCTTGAATAATTTAATGGTAGTCTTAATTTTTTGTTTTTTTGCTTAAAAAATATTCTTATTCAAATATCACTTTGTTAGGCTAAACCATTCAAGTACAATAAATGAATATATAAGACAGTAGAATGCTTACTTGTTTAAAGTCTCACACGGATGGTTTTCGAGGTTAGGTTTTCGATGCTTTCTGCTCAGAAGAAAAAAAAAAATACATACCCCATTGTCTTAAACTATCAGAAGAATTAACTCAATAAAACGGTTATTTACAAGTAAAATGTTATTGCTGTTAGAATATCAGCTAATAGTGATTACTATTTATTACTGTAAAAATGTAGTATATATGTATGTATGTAGAAAAAAATACTTAACTACCATTCACATTTTACTACTCACTCACTGGCAGCAGTACTAAATATTCATTGAACTTCAGTGCTGTTTACGAAGCGTAAAATAGCGCTAAATATTAACTGCCAACAGATTGATTGCACTCTTTCCCGACTCATTCCATGCGCATTCAGCGTTTTTTTACGATTGCGTTTTTACGGCCTTTGTTTGCAATATGCAGACGGGAGTTTATGATTTTTAAAAAGATTCTTTCGCTTTTTGTTTTTTTCTGCTTGTTGTTTAAAAGAGTCTACAAAAGTTTGGTTGGATGACAGGCTTACTAACGTATAGATATAAATACATACATACATACATGTGAATAAATGCAATAATATTTTTTTTTTGTTTTGTTAGTTTTGTTTATATAAAACCCAAACGCAACTTTTGTATAGTACTCGTGGTAGTCATTGCCCAATATATGTAACATTTAACTTGTTAATTTTTTTGTATACAATTTCCAATATTGCATAAATTGTGTTAATAAAGTTTTATATTGGAAACAATACCCAAATTGTAGTAAAATAATAAATACAAGTAAACCCGTTTTATTCAAATCTAAGTGTGAATTGTAAAAAAAAAATATACCACAGAGTTATTGCAAAGCTAACCAAGTTCGAGGCTAAAGGCTGTGTGGCGCTATTACAAAAAGGCCGAACCCGTTAAGCACAGCAGTGCCGCTGTTGGTCACTGGCGGTGATTTAAAAAAAAAGGGAAAAGAAGGAAGCATGTTTTATGGCCTGCCAATATGTTGCATTTTTTGTTTTTTTGTTGTTATTTGGTGTTGTAAACAATGCGAATTTATATGAGTACACATACACATACATATACACATGTGCTATCTATGTGCCACTACCAAAGGGTTAAAAAACCAGCAAACAAACAGTGGCTGGCACAAAATACCGCACATCTAAGAAATATTTTCTTACACTAGAAGAAAAAAAAGAACAAACAAAGTCTAAGCTCGGGCGAAGCCCATCATTAAATAACCGGCGCGAGTATTAAATATAGTTTTTTTCTTTTACCTTTCCGAAAATAACCGCTAGTATGTTCAGTGAGACTTAATGAGATAAATTTATATAGTTATAAGTGGGAAGTATAATGCCTATGTCACTTCCTTTCAAGGGTTTGTTGTGAGTATCAATTTTAAGTAAGTCAGCGTCCTTAAATTTAGAAGTATCAAGTTTCAGAATTTCTGAAATATACCGTTATATGAAAAGAGTTCGATTTCAAGAATTTTAAACACCTTGCTTTTATGTGGCAAGTACAATAATCATACCGAGTTTGGTACAAATTGATGGAACGGTTACCGAGATACACATATGTATGTGGTCATAAGTGGGCGGTGCCACGCCTATTTTGCAAAACTTTATTATAACTGTATTTTTTGCTACAGAATTATTGCAAACATCAATTTTGAAAAAAAATCACTTTAGTAGTTACTGATTTATCGAAGACTTCGTATTTCTCTAATTTACCGTGGTTATTGTTCGGTTTAAAAAATGTTAAGCAGTTCTATATTCTTTACCAGGAACAAAAATTGTGCAAAGTTTAGGAGAAATTGGTGAAGCGGTTACTGAGATACACACATGCCCTCATAAGAGGGCGGGGCTACGCCCATTTTCCGAAAATTTATAATATTCTTATTTTCGCTTTTGAGTGAATAAGCTTCTGTAGTTATGTACGAAAATATCGCAGTTTTCGTATTTCTGAAAAGTATCGTTATATGGGAGGTAGGCGTGGTTATTGCCGGATTTCGCCCATTCTCATCGGACCTACGCTCAAAGGAAGTACATGTACCGAGTTAGATTAAGATATCACAATCTTTACTCGAGTTATCGTGCACGCAGACGGACGGACGGACGTACATTGGACTTTAACCATAATATAAGAGATTTTTTGAAACTTTAAGCCTCTTGCGGCGAACGTAAATATTATCCGATCATGATACGTAACTTTTCCACACTATTAGAATCGAATTATTGATTTTTTCGCTCCACCCTAATAATGTTCAGTCTTGGAGCCAAAAGTATACCAAGTGTAGCTATCGTTCCGGGGCTTAGGATGTCCATTGTTTCATCTTATTACTATTAGGGAATAGCTTATTATAAAGGACTCGAAGTTGTTTGTGAAGGCACAAGTTCACAAAGCTGGGCTGTCCAACTTCCTTCCCATTAGCTTCCGGTAGCTCCAAATGGATATTATGGTCTTCTAAATAGTGGCCGCTGTGGTGTAGTGGTAAGCAGTGCGCGCTTCCACTCCGCAGCGCCTGGGTTCAAGCTCTGGCCAAAGCAGCATCGCAAAAAAATTTAGAAAAAAGATTTTTTTCTTAACAGCAGTCGCCCCTCGGCAGGCAATGGCAAACCTCCGAGTGTATTTCTGCCATGAAAAACAGCTTCTCATTAAAATACAATCGCCGTTCGGTGTCGGCGTAAAACTGTAGGTATAAGAGCTTAAGATTACAATTCACTCGCATAGCTCAGAGCAATGAAGTCCTCGCCACTTAGAAGGCAGAGTACCTCGTGTACCATGATGAGGGGGAGATCACTCCACCCTGTGTGAGGCCCCGACTATTTCTTGACAGAAGATGGGCATATCGATATTTAACAGGTTCTTCTTCAAATTTGCTCTAATTGATTTCGTTGTCCACATACGGATCCCAAGTAGAAGAATCATAAATGAATAATTCTGGCCTGATTGCTAGAAGCTAAGCAAACAAGTTCCGATGATTACTCTGGGTTAAAGCATAGACAGACCGCAACGTTTATTCGGATTAGTTGATTAGAGTTGATAGACGGTAGTAATGTGGACTAACGAGCCGCGATATCGTAGGTTCGAGTCCCACAGCTAGTAGACTTTAAATTTTTCTTTATTCATTCAATTGTCACTTCTATATTTTTTTAACTTTGTTTTCAGTTAATTGTTGTAGACTTTTTTAATAAAATTAAACTCTAAAAATTTAAATTAACTAACAAGAAAATAAATTATGTGAAAAAAATCAAAAAAGTAAAAAATATATATAAATAAAAAAACTTATAAAAACAAAAAAAAAATGTTGGCAATTGCTCTAACCGCGCATCGAATACCAATGAGCAATTGACATCTGCTCACGCGAATATCCGCTTGGAAGGAAAAGTAGGACCAGAATAAATAGTATAGCATAATGTCGGACAGGCAGCATTTGTCGGCAGTTGCAAAATTCACCTAAACCAAATCACTTAAACCACACTAGCAAGGTTGGCCCGACGGAGCCTTGTGGTACATAGCCTTTCCATCATCCGTCCGAAGTAGTTTTAAAGGTCTCAGGTTATCGACTGAAAGCAATCCAACAGGTTCTTCACAACCTCGTAAAGGATCTAGCTCAGCAGTAATGCTAACATTTAAATATATTTTGTAAATATATCTTCCAAATTCTTTATCTCTAACGCAACCTCACAACATGTGCGAAATTTTATGTCGCACACTGTATGCTTATGAAAAAATGGTTTTTAATACACTGTCCATTTTCGAATAAACTCCCTGCCACACAACTACTGACAAAACTCTTTTATTGCTTTGAGCCGGACTGCTAGGGTCGTTGATGCTTTGTTACTTACTACAATATATTTTGCAATATTTGAGTTTTTCAAATTAAAATTTACAGTTTCAATCCGGAAGTGTGCAGCGGACAGACAGGCTTATGTTGGCATTTATTATTCAAGGAGGATACAAAAAAGTGTACAGAGTCCAGAGCTAAAAGGAAAATATTGAAAGCTGAATTTTCACAGCTACACAGGGTAGGGGTGGCATGCGGTGGCAGGGAACGATAGCGAATAACAAAAGCTTAGCACCCCTTGGTTTGGACTTTTTAATATTTGTACTTTTAGGCTTTTCGCCGAGCCCAAAATGATGTGCGTATGTGTTTTCACAAACTATTAACTCCCCGGACATTGACTTACAAATTCGTTAACTGTGTAGCCACTGAATACTGAATAATCGTACAAACATACATACATACAGACATACATTTGCACATAGTAAACCTGAAGCGAAGGAGCCAATACAGGAAGGACAAGCAACTAATCGTCAGCGGAAGTGCTGTTTAATATTGAAGATAAATAGATGCCTCAGGGAAATTGATTTAGCAAGGGAATAAGAGGAGATAAACTTCAACCTTAAATAAAACAAAATAAATAAATTAAGTAAAACGAAACAAATTAAAATAAAATGAAACGAAATCAAATAAAATAACCTAAATTAAATAAAATAAAATAATTTCAAATAAAATAAAATAAAATAAAATAAAATAAAATAAAATAAA